CATTAGGCTATAGAAGGTCTGTTTAAAAGGAATTGGTGGGGGGCTCTTGGCTAGAGGAAAAAAAATTGCTGCGATCATCACACGCTATGCTGCACCCTGGTGCAGCAGTAAATCACTGGCGGCACGGAAACTCTGGAATTGCGTGGGAAAGCTATTCCGGGGAAAATGTAAACGCCTCGGTTGTGTGTCGGCACACGGAAAACGACGAGAGACCGAGAGAGGGAGAGAGGGAGGGGGACACTGCACGAGCTGGGTTCTCTCTCTCGTGCCTGCGAGGATGCACGGGGAGGTATCGGTTTGCATCGGACGGGACCGTTACAGGGCGGTTGGCGCAAGGTTCAGAGTATTTGGCTGCTATACATTTCCACGTGATAATCCACTGTGTTGAGCTATGTAATTTGTCGCTTCTGAAAAACGAGTTATATAGCTCAGTGGGCCTTTGCTGGTGAAATATTTATGTTTATGTAGTTTTAAGTTTGGCGCTTGTATAGTACGTTGATCTTCTTTCGCACCGCACGTAGCCAACCGTGCTCATCGGAGGCGCGACGGAAGGACAACAAACTAAACACAACAAGCCGTTCTAAATAAAACACGAGTTGTCAATCTCGATTTAAAAAAAGTATATACAGCTCCAGCGGAGTGAAGTGGCCTCTGATGCCGCAATGGCGTAGCTGCTGCTGCGTGTGGGAGTGGCGGAACTGCACCGGGGGGGTCATCGAGCCTGGATGGGCTCCATCGCCGGGCTGCCCAGAGAGAGAGGAAGGGGGGGGGGGACGTTGGATGTGGCGGTCGTCCAGGGCGAGGAAGGGAGCAATATTCACTCGTTGAACTGAGAGTTGTTGGAAGCGCTGGACAGTGTAGGAGGGTCGTGGTTAACACGCCTCTTCAATGTTGCATGGAAGGTGGGTAGGGTTCCTCTGGATTGGCAAACTGAGGTTGTGGTTCCCATTTTTTTTTAGGGGACCAGCGGGTGTGCTCCAGCTACAGAGGAACCACACTCCTCAGCGTCCCAGGTAAAGCTTGTGTCAGAGTGCTGGAGAGGAGCCTCAGATTCAGGAGGAACAATGCGGATTCCGTCAGGGTCGTAGAACAATAGACCAGCTCTTATACCTCTCACAGATATTTGAGGGGTCATGGGAGTACGCTTGACCAGTCGACCTCTGCTTTGTAGACTTGGAGAAAGCATGTGACTGTGTTCACCGCAATGTCTTGTGGGAGGTGCTGCTGGAGTATGATGTACCGGTGCCGCTTTTGTGTGCTATCCGGTCCCTCTATTCCCGGAGTGAGAGCTGTGTCCGTATTCTTGGTGTTGAATCAAAGTCGTTCACTGTGGGTGTTGGACTCCGCCATGGGTGCGTGTTGTATCCACTCCTGTTTGTGACTTTTATGGGCAGGATATGAAGACGCAGCCGAGGTATGGAGAGTATCCGGTACGGGGACATGGAGGCGGCATCGCTGCATTTATGTAGATGACGTTGTCCTCTTTGCCTCGTCAGTCCGTGATCTCCAGCGGGCACTCGAGCGGTTTGATGCCGAGTGTGAAGCGGCTGGGATGAGAATCAGCACCTCCACATCTGAGGTCATGGTTCACGCCCAGGAGACAGCTGGATTGTTCTCTCCAGGTGAGAGGGGAACAGCTGCCCTTCGTGGAGGAGTTTTAGTACCTCGGGGTCTCTTTCGCGAGTGATGGTAAGTGGGAGAGGGAGATCAGCCGGCAGATCGGTGCGGGCGCTGTACCGTTCCGTGTTAGTGAAGCGGAAGCTGAGTTCTCCAACAAAGCTCGTGGTTTACAGGTCGATCTACGTTCCCACCATCACCTATGGTCATGAGCTGTAGGTAATGACTGAAAGGATGAGATCGCGGGTACAAGGGGCCGAAATGAGGTTTCTCCACAGTGTTGCCAGGCTCACTCTGTGATTGGGTGAGGAGCTCAGTAGTCCGGTAAGCCTCAGAGTCGAGCCACTGCTCCTCCGGATCAAGAGGAGCCAGTTGAGGTGGTTCGGGCAGTAGACTCCCCCTGGAACTCTACCGGGCAGCAGCACGTCCCACTGGGCAAAGACCCCGGGGGCCGGCCCAGAACACGCCGGCAGTAGAACGATGTAGCTCGGCTGGCCTGGGAACGCCTGGGGATTCCCCAGGAAGAGCTCGAGTCTGTCGCCAGGGCAAGGGAGGTCTGGACCGCCCTACTCAACATGCTGCCACCACCGCGACCCTCATCAAGACAAGCGGACTGAGAAACGAACGAATGGATGAACTGAGATGTACTATGCCACGCCACTGTGGAGACAACATCACGACACAGCGCAGAGTACCGCAGCGTAATCACTTCATCAACGTGTGGCACGAGGCCATATCAATAATAGGCCCGTGGCTTGCTAAACTGGTGGTGTAAATCATTTGAGCACTCTCTGCTCTATTTTATATTACAGAAAGCAAGTCCACGCAAGGAAAGTGGTGATTACATAATTCTCTCTGCCGTCCATATGTTACGTAACATATACCAGCATTTTATATGCTTGGCTTTAATATTTCTGCCTCTGGGTGCACGCGAGCTAATGTAGCAGGGTTTGGGAATAAGGAATGTGCAAAGGTTTTTTGTGTTTTTTTTATTAAATTAGAATCATGGCATTTATGGGATTAACATGTGAAACAAAGAGATATATAATTTATTTGCATTGCATATCAATTTGTGATGATACTTGCAGTTACTGATATCAACCATGTTCTACCTACTGCTGGATAAAGGTCTCCTCTGCACGCCATCGTCATCCCACAGTTTCGTGATGCACAATCCATCTCGCCGCTGCATATAGCCAATTTATCTCGATGGATTAGCAGACAATGTCTACTTCACATACCGAATCTGTCTCTGTACATGAAAAAAAAATGAATCTTTACACAATGCATCAGTCCCACAGACGCTCATAAAACCGTGGGCCAATAGCTTGTGTAAAATATGCTTTATTTTTTATGTGCAGAGACAGATGTATGGAGAAATGTCGTCTGCTTATCTAATTTGTTCCCAATATTCTGCACATGCATGGGTTTTATCTGTGTGCTCCAGTTTACTCCCATAAGCGAACACTTATTAATTGGCCGATAACACCTTAATATATAGAGGACCACAGAGCTTGGGAGGAATGTAATGTAACCACGACTGATATTTGTGTTACTTTCTCCAGACATAGCGCTTGTAACACCTCTGAATGAGCTGGGAACATTATAGAAAACGAAGTTTTGATTTGGCATATGAACTAAACTATTTTGTCTTAGCAAACCTTGAAGGTTAAACAAACATATAACGGCATATTATCTGTATCGTGAAGACACTGAACTTGGCTCATTCAGTTGGCGTGTACACTTTGCAGAAACATTGCGCTAAATTGGAAGCACACCTTATTGATTAATCCAGAGTGAGTTCGTCTAATTCATTTTCCGATCAGGTGATGGTGGTGGTGATCGCTGTGCTTGTATAACGTCGCATTACGGGCTGGTGTGTGTCGAGGTCATCTCAGGACTAGTTCCAAAGTGTTGCCAATGTTTGTATACAGTAGTTGTGTCTCACTTGTGGGTGCCTAAGATTGGTCGAGAGGTCAGACTCGCCGGCGCCCTCGGGCGAGTGTTCCATGCCTGGGGCAGGGGTGTCTGGAACTTACTCAAACAAAGGTCCTAAATGCAGGAGCGGCAAGCCCCCCCCGTAGGCAGCAACACAAACACTGGACTGTATTCAGGAAGCCTGGGGTTGCAACAAACCTGGTGCCCGAGTACTCCACTGAATATTCGCATGAAATCTGAGAGGCGGGGGGGGGATTGTCAGGGATGAACTCCACGGTGTTGAGATAAGAGCGTGCCCACGACACGAGCACGGAGAGCAAAAATTAATAACGGGCCCTTTGGTATGCGTTGTTGTTGTTAAGTGTGATGAATGACCGTGGCTGGCGTACACTCACATTGGTGCAGAGTATAGCAAGAACAATACCGTTAATATAGTGTCGAGGCCATGCTGTAAATATGCAGTACTGTAGTTCTGTACATGTGCTCTTCGCTCGCTCACCGCATTGCTCAGTTTTGTGTTTTGTTTTGGTCGATTTTTTTTGGGAAAGTAAAATGATCAAATGCATCGTGGCAAAGTCTGGTATCTTTGCTTTTGCAAGATGTCGTTTTCCAGTGAGATTTAATATCTTTACTTTTTTAAGTTTATGTTTGTTGGACTTTCTATGGGCTGGATATAAAATATTATTGATAGAAACATATTAATATGGAGATTCAAATATGTCAATTGTCAACTTAAAGATATTGTCTTAAATTTCCCCGGGCACCTTGGTGTCAAATGCTCTCTCCGAATGCAATCCAATCAATGTGTCCTCTTGTTCTGCTCAGGGGAAGGGCTCTTTCCCAAGACGGTAGTATTGTGGTATAACGCTGTTGAAGAAAGTGAGAGTTTTTATTATTTATTGTGCATTATAATTTGGCTTGATATGTGAAGAGATTGTAGGGTGACATCATTTAATAGCCCCAAGTTAAAGTTGGAAATTCCACATTCTCATGTATCGCAGGACATTCTCTGCATGGTATGGTGCACTGTGGACATCTCACAAAGTAGTATTCGCATTGTTGACTCCAGAAGGACGGTGGATGGACTGAGTGCCCCTCACCAGGATTTATGTTACAACCTTTCCATTGTGAATTAAACACCAAGTGCTTTTTTAAAATAGAGCTTTAAAAGAAAGATAACTGCGCGTCCAAAACCTGCAAATTTAAGTGGCCAAGAAGGAATGACACGTGCGCTGGTTGAACAGGTGTGATTGGGGCAAAGCCGAATGTTTGGAATTCACCACTGAAGTTCCACCCCACGAGCTCACCTCGTCACACCGAAGAGGGGTACGGGACGCCCCTGCCGTGCCCGCTCCACGTTTTCCCACACGTGCTCAGTAAATCCTGCACATGTTTGATTTTACAGCCTTTATTTCATTCTTTTTTTTTGCTTCGCTTATGTCTCAGCTATGTAGCGTTTTTAGGCTCCATGCCCAAGAATGGTTGGCAGCCCTGCGTGGCCAAGAGAGCAACGGTCTGCCAAGTGTAGCAACATCTTCAACATCGTCATCAGCAGCAGCAGCAAGTGGCCGAAGCAGTAGCATGAAGCAAAGGCAGCAGCAGCAGCATGTCGCGTTATAGTCATCGCACACAGTGATCGCAGTTCAGTGTGGTACAACAGCATTTTGACACATCTCTCACACACGCACGCACATGCATAGACACACACACGCGCGCACGCACTTGCATACACACACGCAATGATGAGCTAAGGCAGTAGTCCATTCGCCTACACAGCTGAGCCACAGCTGCAAGCCCCCTACGCAATGCGTCAGACCACCTGAACCAAGACGGACGCCAGGAGCCGGGCGCGCGAGCCCTCCAGGTGAGTGTGACGTTGACCGTGACAGCTGTCACGGTTAGCGGGGTGCGGTGCAGACCGCTGCGACTGTGATGCCTCGGGGCAAGGGACACGGGGTGTCTGTGTGTGCGTGTCTGTATCACAGTGGCCTTTTACTGGCATTGTTGAGGTTACGGTCGGAATGAAAGCATGAAAAGAGTGGCGTAATGTAAAACAAGCGGCTGCTCTAGTGAGTTGCACTGCAGTGTTTATGAAAGTTAAGCCTGAGTAATGTAGTTGTTTAAACTAGTCTATAATTATATATCAGAATCTACACAACGTTCCACGTACACAATACATAGTATTACATAGTATTGTGTATATTTAATCCATTATCTATATGCTGTACCCTTTAAAATGCATAAACGTTTGCCGTATATGTATACAGCATTGTTACGTAATATAACAATATCAGCGACTGAAGTGGAAGTCCATTGGCAACTCGCTATCTATTGGTGATAAAAATAATAATCCACATTTCCAAAGCAGGATCCGATCTCTCCATCGGATGAAAAGGGATACGTGATACTATAAGTTATATAGAATGTTGAAAATGCCTCGTTTAAATAAGGAGTTGTATCTATCCATGATCACTGGCCGTTAGTGATATATTATTGCATTGTCAACTTTACCCATCACTTTGGGTTTATCCTGTATTATATTGCATATTTTTAGCAGTCATTGGCCACCATATAAGGACACTGCTCTGTAGGTGTCGGCAGTCGTGCTGTATGGGCCTCCGGTGTGTTTTCAGGTTGTATCGCTACAACTTGAAAACTGAAAACACGCGAGACAGCGATAATGATACGAATTCATCAGAGTAATGTGGAATTTCCATCTCTGGCTCACGACTGCCAATGCGAATGATTGACACCCTATTGATTGTTTGGGCATCGGGAGACTTGGATTTTCCTGTGTTAAGTATGTACTATACATTAATACATTTACCACGTGTGTATTACTTCATTACGTTTTGCAGTGTAGTAAACTGTATCAGCATTTATTGTTGAACGTTTTTAAACCACAGCCATTTGAAATAGCTGCCAGTGTATTTTGACTCGTGCTTAATTGGACCTCCTTAATTGCTATATTAAAGCAATTATAAACGTGAGTGTGCCTTGCTCAAATGCGCGTAGGCTTCAGTCATCTGGTGACCATTCTACATTCCTATGGCCAGGACCAGTCCTTGGGACAAACGCTGTTGGCTTCCCACTGCGTAGTGTGGCCTCGCCAGGTGGTGCTCATTTTTTAATCCTTTATATTAAGTTCACTTGCTTGCTTGCTTGCGCGCTTACGACCGTGCAAATCTTTCGGTCGTTTTTTAACCCACTTCCCGTGATCCAATCGAGCTGACATTTTGCACACAGACTCGTTGTGCGTGACAATTTATTTTCGTGAAATTTTTTTTTCATAACTTTACACTTTTTAGGAAAAAAAATATTATATTTAATTACCAATTGCTTAATGGTGGCAGGCAATCATCTGACCCATAGGTGGCAGCCATCTCAAGCCAGAGGACGAGAGGACTCTAGCCGCCACGCATATAAAGGATTTATAGTGAAAAACTTTGTTTTTACGGGTTAATTTTTTACGAACCCAGGGAGGGACATTGGCAGGGATTTGAACTTGCAGCCTCGTCGCTGTGATCCCTGCCAACTGACTAACTGAGCAAGAGCGCAGCCCTCGCACTGCGCAGCGCACAGACACAGAGTATAGACAGATAGAGCATTCGGCCAGGCAGCGCTGTGGTGAGCGATAACACAAAATGAGCATTCGCTTCGTTGCGGAGAGTATAAGTAGCAAAGTAGATGAGCAGAAAATACGTCTCCCTCAAATATGTCTCTCTGTGTAAATGTTAAAGTATTTTTTGTTACACAACCATCAGCCCCACGGCCTTCCGGGAGTGAATCATTTTACATCGATGGTTCTAAACACGCTAACTCTGGACCGCGTTCCACATACAGGTACATTGGTGGGACACTGAATGTAGAAAATAGTCCAAAACGTGTCCCTAATTTGCTTGTGTAGAATCAATGCCGCTGGAATTGTGCCCTCACCCCCCTCCCGGAAGTCCCAAAACTACCAATGGAGATGATCACTGCACCTTGTTCATTTGAGCAAGACGCGCTGACTTTTATAATTATTTTTGTTGAGACATTGTCAAAATCAGTCCAGAGATTGCTTTTTGAGAATCGATGCTTCTGAAATTATGCACTCCCAGAAGGCTATGGGGCTGATGATTGTGTGAACAAAATCTTAGTTTTTTGCTTGGAGAGCCTTATTGTCAGGTTATCTATGTTGTGGTTAGAGAGGTTGACTTGCTGTGAGAAGGTAGCGAGTTCACAATGATGGACATGCCCGGGTAAAGCTGGATTGTTGGGAGTTGGAGCCATTTCGAGTTCACCTTGGGGTGTGACAAGGATGTCCTCTGGCCCCTACAACTATTTAACATCTTTGAACCACCGAGTTTGAGTCGCCATGGCTGTACAGGAGGAATTAATTTCTGGTACATATACAATGGGAGTCGGATCGATGCCTGGGTGTAGTCAAGGAATGGATACCTATTGATCAACCTTGTTATGTATGCTGATGACCTGGTAACTGCTGCTCACTCGGAGGAGTTGGAGATGCTTTTACTGAACCTAGAGCATGCCACAAAGAGTTACCATTAGCCACACCAAAACTAAGCACCTGCCTGTGTATGTTACATCATCAACCACTCCATCCCCTCAACTCCCCATGAGTGATGGGGCAGTTGTGGAGAGAGTAAAGAAGTTTTCATACCTGGCTTGTATGATTATCACCAGCTTCACTTTGCCAGTGGATATCTCACTCCAAATGAGTGAAGCGGCATTATCTTTTCATCAGCTGCATCATGCTTTGTGAAAGCTACATGGTCTGTCGCTCCATACAAAGCTCCAGGTCTTCTTTTCCAGTTATGTGCTCCCTTCTCAATGCTTCAGAAATGTGGAGCCCTTTAAATGAATATTTGTGCCAGTTTAACACAGTAGGCTTTCGCGATCAATATTGTTCATAAAGGTTTTTGGGTTAGATCGATCTAACCCCAAAACCTTTATTATGAATAACATTTGTGCCAGTTTGAAAAATTCAGGGTTGCCTGCTTACGATCCATCCTGTGTTTAACCAGATTGGCTGAGGAGTTCATAGATCCTTGAAATATCTGGAAACTGTCCCATCAGTGAGCTTCCTCTGGCAGGCGAGGCAACTTTGGCTGGGTCATTTAGCCCGCATGCCCAAGCAACTTCTGTTTGGCAGGATAGATGGGGCAAATCGGGCATGGCACGAGTTCGAGAAGAGATGCACCGATGCAGAAAGAAGAATGTGTAGCTGAGTGGACTTGCTGATGACCATATCTTTGGAGGAGGCTCGTGAAGGACGCTGCTACTGGGAAGTTGGAGGCAGTCGCCCTCCACAACAACGGAGGACAGAGGAGCGACGCTCACAACAACGAGTGGAGCGCCGGACAGCTAAAACGCGGCAAGCTGGCATCGTGGGGAGCACAGGTGGTACATCTGCCAGTCATACCTAGGTCTGTCCCGTGACTTCCTGCCAGCAGAGCGCCTTTCACACTCCACGTGATGACTTGAAAGTACACCTAGCCTGGCACAGGCGCCTTGGTGACGCCACCGCCACTCGGTGGCCTACAGCGGTTGTTGTTGTAATGCAACATGCTGTGTGCAGTGGTAAAATGTGTACAGCCCAGCTGTGCTTTTGACTTGGCAGTGCATGTGTGACAGCCCTTATATGGCCATACAGTTTCCCGTAAGGGTGATAAGTTTGAGATATATCCCAAAACGTGTAGCCAACGTACGTGTCCAATGTTAACACATTGAATATTAACCACTACATTTTTGTGAGAGAAAAAAACGCCGCCGCTTTTCACATTATTCGAGCATGATTCAATGCAACCGATGTAAGGCAAAGTGCAACATCCATTACCGCAAAGCATCACTCGCAGAGTAAGTTTTAAGTTTCAGGAAGAACTGAAGACAACTTCCATTTGCAACGCTGTGGCCTCGTGGCTCCATTTTAGAGTGGGGCTCTTTCTCCTGCAAGGAGCCCACCGCAGCTGCTAACGAAATGCTCTCTATTGTTCCAAGCTAGAACAAAGCTCATTAATATTAATTGCAAGCGTGCGCAGTCAATGATAGTTGTGCTTGCAGCTGCGCCTTCTGGCGCTGAGAAATGCCAAACGAGGGGAGAGTTTAAAACTTTAAAGCACCTCCCACTTGTACAGGCGTTGACCATTCCAAATATACAGAAGAAAGCAGCAAACTGCGGCGTTCCGGTTAAATGTGGTTTATGGCCACATGGTCACGAATGAGACTGGAGTCCATTTAGAAAGAGGGCTTTGGAGATGAATGGGCGAGAGAGATTTCAGCAGCCAGGAGCCTCGTCTGTGAAACATCATTCCATTCTTCCCCAGGACATGAACTCTCAATCGGTTGAGTCCTTTAGGTCCAATCTTAAAACACATTTGTTTTAACTTGCATACCACCCATCTGTTAGAGTTTACGTTTTTAAGGATGTATGTAAAGCTATGAGAGGCTTTGTGTGAATGGTGCTGTATAATATCAAGTTTTATTTACAGATTATAATCTGTAATTATCACGAGGCATCTTCAGACTTCTGGATGCCCTTGTTGGCTACTGAGTTCACGGACGAGTTTTTTTTATTCTGGTCAGTGGTTGACTTAGCCCATCATTCCTGGTGGGTCGATAGATTAAATACTACTTTGTAGGAACGAATTTGTGGACAATATTGGAGGCATCAATTTGAGCGCCGCACAATCCACGTTTGAGCGGGGGGGAGATGGCTGTCATCACCGCTGTCACCATCGCTGCAAAAACCATGCGCAACTTACAGCTGTCAAGCGACGGTCATTGTAACACAAAACATCGCACAAGTTTAGCTGGTAGGTGACGAGGACCCATTTCAAATTGCGACCACAAAAAGGAAAATTC